TTTATCTTACTACAGTCCATTGTAGATAACATCGGCATCGTCTTTACAACTTGTAAACTGATGTCATCAATTCGTGATATTAATATAACAATATTATTCATTTAAAATTATTTGTTAACTTCTTTGAAATTAAGTTCAAAAACGGATATATTTAGAGTAAAAGTTTTATAGGTACTTATTAAAATATAAAAGTGTAATAAAAACTAATCATTCACCAAAATAATTACTAAATCAATTTAATGTTTTTCGTCGTCTGATTTCTCTTTAAATCTTTACTATCTATCTGCCCTGGCTTCGCATAGATATAATAAATAGAAAGAAAATTTAGTATTTTATTTGGATTTCATTATTGTAATTATTGTAAGAATCTGTTCTTGTTGTTTCTTGTTTAAATAATATATAGCAGAGTTTATATAATCGGTTGAGTAGTTTTTGAGTTTATTCATCACAAACAAACGTAAAATCAAATTATACCTCTTTATAATATTTATACAAACCAGATTAAAGTCAATAAATTGTTTAAAATTGTTTATCACATTTTTCCGGACAATTCAAAATTTAAGACGAAATTGTTGTTTATATACTATTGAGTTGTGTTTGTGCTATTTTAATGAAACTTTAACTTAACTTAAATTTATTTAGAGTTATTAGCTTTAAGAGTTCTGAGCTTTCTTATTTGATCCATTTATCATTGCTTGAGATAACAAATTAGCAGTAAATCTGCAGGCGTGAGAATCATAGACTATCTAGATAGTTTATACTATCTATGCACTGTGTTTCGTGACTGGTCCCGCTCACTAACTGTTTCGCACCAGTTACTTGGTCTACTCCTACTTCTGTAAATGCCATACGACTTCCAAGGATTTTGATTCCACGACGATGGGTTTTAATATATTTATATAAATCAGAAATTGCTGGTGACCGAACATGTTTACTGATCGGATATGATGTAGCCTATAACCTTTACTACCCCATATAGTACGCGTCTACCAATTTTTATAATGATTGGTTAAGCCGTTAAGAGGCTAAAAGGTAACAAACAATTTAATGTTGGTCTTTTTCAATCTATATTAGCTGGATCTAAACCAGAAATTTTTGAACATCTGTCCAGGGAAAGTAGATAAAGCTTTATTTGAGAAATCAATTCAGGGTACAATAGGGCTGATATACCTGAAGAAGGTAAAACTTTCACATGTATAATACAATATTAGTAAAGATAAAATGTCGAATTGGCAGTACTTATACATGGATTATTAGGATTAACTGGATGATTACTTTTTAATTGCATTAAAAGTCAATGTAAATTTATAGGTATGTAGGTTCATTTTAGTTTACCTCGTTTAAAGAAACATGTTTACTTAACAGTTAGATATTTCTCTTGGTTCATTAGCAATTTCCCAATTATGAAAAACCTAATGTTTGCTTTCCGATGTATTTATATTTAATCGTTCATTCCACGATCGAATCGATCGTTTGTTTCCAAGAATCAGATTCGTCTATAATCTTTGTTTTTCAAAGATTCCTATTTGCTAACTTCTTTTCGTTTATTTTTTTTCATCTAATAACAGCAAATAGGTTTTTATTTCGCCATTAATATCAATTATGCTACTAAAAACAGCATGACAACTAAAATCAGTATATTTTTATAGAAAATTGGAAAGCTTTCTTTATTTATTGATATTCTGTTGTTGTTTCTTCTTTCGGATTAATTACGAGTATCATCGTTTAGCGCATATAACAGCACACAATTAGCATGCCAGGTGTAGTGCCATTGTGGCTTATTATGGCCCATTATCATAGTGGGGGCGGACGTGATCGGATTGTCGATCGAGTTTCATTCCGTACAGAACCCTAAGGGGCAGCGTGTCAATCATTGCTTTGTTCAGTATAATTAAATCGAGCACGAATCATTATGATCATGTGAAACATCATATTAACTGTCGCAAATGATCTGATAACATAATGCAATATTATAAGAACATCCATTAATAAACGATATCTTTGTAAAGTATAGCTAATTTTAGTAGCATTTTAAAATTCATCATATTAATTTTTTTTTTGTCAATAGTAATAGGAAATGAAAAATTTAACTTCACTTTATTTATTTTGTCAATTTCATAAGCTTTTAAACTTTATCAGAATAAGTAAATTTTATGTATTTTTTAATTTGGCAACATTCGCAATATTTACATTCCACTTTCCACTCTTCAGTTCACAAGTACCTTCTTTGTTTCAAGCACTCCGTAAAAGGCCGGACAGTTTATTGTCATTTGCCAGGGAACACAAATTATCGTAAGGCGGTTTTTCTGTTTATGCACCGTCTTAATATTGTATGGACAGAACAGCATTGTCTCCATATTTTCTGATGACTCATGATTATACGAAATGTATAGTATTTAAGCAATTGCCTTTAATGTATAGTTGCATTCCGTTAATAAATATTTAAGTTATGATAATGTTTCTGTATAAATAAATACTTGAAATATGAAAATGATACAACACTTGTTGATATGACTGACCTCATTTTCTGTAGTTGATGATATGTCAGACTTGCGGTAGTAATGAAGATGCCAACTCGGTCAAACGGAGGAGCATTTTCGTGTTGCATTTAAAATAAAGTGCCTAGAACACTTCCTTGTAACTTCACCTTACCTTTATCATCTGATAATAACGTACATGTTTTCATCCAAATGTTCAACAATAATAATAATAATCCTCAATGACAGTAAAGTAAAATATCTTTATAGAGTACTAAAGAAATTACCAATATTTAAATGAAGTTACCAGTGTTTACAATACAATTTTTCGTTGTCTTATCTTAATGGTTGGAAAATCTTCCAACTAAGCTAAATTCGCTTGTACGATTAACTAAACTATGTAATTGCCATTGAGAATTGCATCTGTTCTGCAACGGGCAGCTGTTGCATCATTCGATAGGCATCCATACCATGAGAGTCGACATGATATTGCCCCTAATTGGCGAGTTAGTCTCTATTACCCGTGAAAGTGCTATACTAGCTTAATTGGCACATTCGTGTCATGTAGAAGTAACGTGATTTCTCGCTTCTAAAATGCGTGCAAAATATGAACGAAACCGTCTTCTACCTGCGTAATTATCATCAACTTGAACTTGACCACAAAAACCAAAGTCATAGAATAAAGACGATTCGGCTACGGTTTGTTGTCAAGTACCACTCGTGTCACGTTAATAGAATGAGTAAATAATCGAGGTACACTTGCTGTAGCAGTTACATCATTTCTGCAAATATGTAAGCTTGTTTTAATTAAATATGAATGTAAAATTTATTCAAAATTTTCCTTAAATCCTTATATATTATTCTGGTATTTCATATAGCCATAGATTTAACTTCCGTGATTATACATTGTCTCGCACGTGTTTTGATGTGAAATGAGCACGAATGTTGGCGTGGGTTACCTACCACGTATGTCCCTTCTACTGTATGACACCTGCTGCGATACAACTATAAAATATACGTAGCAATGTTTACGATGTTTTTACAACGCTATCGGAAAGGTTATCTCTAAGTGTTTACAAGTTTTTTTTTATAAAGTCTTTATTTTGATGTCCAACCAAATTACCCGCTTCCAAATGAGGGATGTTAAAATTTATAGCTGCTATTTGTACTCAATTCGTAAACCTGGTGTCAAAGTATGAATTCAATAACTATGACAAATGTCTGCTTAACATAACAATGGAAACTCGTCATTTGGATGACAGACTTGAGAAAAAAATACCATCTTGTTATGTTAATGTGACAATAAAATAAAATGTAGCTGAAAAAAAAATACATTTTCTATTTAAACCTATTTATTTCCGCAATTATTACTTACGACTTTTCTTATTGTTAAAACATTAGAAGAGTTAACAGAACAAATAGCAATTGTGTAATTTAATAAAAAAAATATAGTCCAGTAGTAAATATTTATCCAGTTATGATCTGTAGCAAGTCTCAACCTATTAACGTTTTACCTACATAATTCATTAGTCATTGCAGTGCACCAATAGTGCCACAATTTGAATCACGCTGATTTGTATAATTGATATAATTATTTCAAAAACACTATACAGGCTTTATCAATTATGTCTCATGTGAACATAGCATATGTTAAAGGTATTATTATAAAAATAACATAAACCAATTGTTGTGGATAAATATTTAACTATACCTACATTAGAAGCTAATGTCAGACATAATATAATAATTTTGTATTATGTATGTATTTATATAATAATTCGTAACATCATAATAGGATTGGGGTTAGAGATGAGTCTTACGTCTTATACCGGTTGTATCTGAGTTATGATTCGCTTGCCCACGCGCATCCGCAAGGCCGGCTTGCTACGCAGTTGTCGCAGATGATTAATCGAGCACCGGACGATCAGTACTGGACACACGAGGGCTTCATACAGCCGGCTCTGCACGTATCAGTTGTATTGCCTCATATTATATATCGATCAGTAGTCTTCTGTGAGTGTCATCGTAAAATGCTATAGAATTTAAGGGCTCAGAATACTTTCCAGTTTAATTTTATTAACCGTGTCTTTGACGGTTTTTATTTTGGAACACAATACCATAATCATAATCAAACTTACTTATCTCAGTTCTAATAAATCATAATAAATTATTATAACCAATGCATGGAATAAATTGTGCATCCCTAATTTAGCTAATAAAAACATGATGTAGTTGATGATAATAATAACTGTTGGTGGAATATTTCGTGCTACTCCATCCGATGACAGGTAGTGAATAATACTAATGTATTTGATAAACTAGTGAATATTTCGAACTCTGCCTTAACAAAATTGCAAAAAAATTTCATCTGAAATTACTCTCGCCGTTTTGTTGTACATAAATATTTGCAGTTTTTTATGTTCAGCAAAATCATTTTCATCTGGTAATTGGGACATTTTTTATTACTGTTTTTTGTCGGCATGTTTTGTTTTTGCTTTATGTGCCTTTATTTTGTTGTCATAGACGGCAGTACGGACACGTTAAGGAAACTCAGCGACGACTCATCGCGAAAACATTTGTCAGGTGAGTTCCGGTTTTTTACTTAAATTACAACAACAAATTGGATGAATTAAATTCTTGATCGCATGACAACACTATCTGTGCGCGCATGATATGTGATGCCTCTTGTGTTTATGGATTTCATACACGCACTGTCAAAATTTCATTGCATTTCTATCTGTATAAATTACCTATCTTTTAATAATCACTTGCTTAAAATCCGTCACCTTTTCATTCACACTGCATGGAGCAGACCTTATCGAAGCCGACGAAGACGACGTTACCAGCAGTCTACCAGGCAGAGTATTTACACATCGGAAAGCGTCCAGTAAGTGTATCATAATCATAATTCCTCTAGCATCGATTGTGGTTAAAGTGGTAATGGATATCACTGTTATTAATTAGCACATTGCGTAATGGTGGTGGGAGTACCTACTGGAAATGATAACATTCCAGTTTTAATTTATAAAAAAAAACAACAAATAAGATACTTGATATATTAAAAGTAATCGCATTAGAAAATGGAAATTAATTTATGCATGATTAATTAGAGATAATAGGTAACGAAATCAATGAAACATTCAAAATGTAGTGATATTACAATTAATCATAACCGCACGTAAAAGTAACTGAAAATAATTCATAGACAGCTGCTACTAATTTAAAAAACCATTCTAGTTTGTAATAGCCAGTTACTAAGTCGTTGTAAACGCCTTTTAACATTAATAAAGATGTTATCCGCGTATAAAATGCCTCAATTCGCGTCCAGTACGACTAAGTGGCTATTCAACCATGTCGAGAAGCTCGCCCACGTAGATCCATCAAATCAAAGCATGTAATTAGACCCATTGTCTTTATAACAATATCTTAATAATTATTTATGTTTATAATATTGAAGACTTAGGTCGTTATAATTAAAAAAAAACTGGTTGACTTAATTTACTTAAAAATAATCTCAAATAAGTACGAGTAATAAATGACATCACGGTTTATATTATCCGTGCATAGACCGTGACATAAATTAACATAATAACGATCATGGATAAATAAATGTGAGTGTAACTTGGTTAATGAACAAAAAATCCATCCAATCTCCTATTATTTTTGTCAAATACGCAACATTTGTGCAATACCGTGAGAAGTAGGTAATTCAGGCAAAGGTGTCGGCTATAGTTGTGTTGTGTGTTTGTAGTGGCTAATGTGTTTCTGTGTCGCTTATGTCATCACAGCTAGCAGCACCTACAGCATCACCTCAATGGATGCACTTTGGGAGAAGCACCCGCGCCGTCTCAGCGAGGCAGGCCTTAGAAGGTCTTCAGGTAAGGGCACCTCTTATGATGCTGCTCTGCAATGAGACAAATCTACGATAATAATCATATTAGAAATTATCTTCTAAATAACAATTGTATTATTGTCGGTTTGTTCTGCATTAAACATTTTTGTTTCACTATAAAATTATAATGTATAGTAAATCATTCATCCGAAATCCACACCACCGATCACATGCTCTTTAAATATTTGCCTATGTAGCGGTTATTCTACTTGCTTTGTGTTTGCGATGCACTGGCTGCAGGCATGGTTTTATTTGCAACAGATTTACAAATTTAAATATTATGCTAAAAGAAATGTATTTGAGGTCAAATGCAGTTTGTTATATTATATCTGCATCTATGCAGTAGGCAGTTTGTAGTGCTAAGAATGAAGCGAAAGTTTGTAATTCCGATGTAACGATAATGGTATGCAAACTTGTTTGCAAATTGTTCCTCGATGGCCGTTGCACTTGCATGCAACGGTATTCTTGACGTACGCATATCATAAGCGTGCTAAGAATATGGAATGCTATGAACATGCATATTCAAGTAATCAATATATTTGCTTTCATAAAGTAAATCCCATTCAATGAATAATACTGTTATCTAATGAAAAGTGCACAAGTAGGTACAGTCTTAAATTGACGATATTAGTAGATATTGTCGTTTCTTGGTAAACCATATATATTATTAAACTAGAAATACCAAAGTTTCATTTTGATGTTCCAGATCACAGTGTCATATTGACTGAGGATACTGACAGCTTTATTATTGGTGAACGAGTATGGGTAGGCGGCACTAAGCCTGGTCAGATCGCTTACATCGGCGAAACACAATTTGCTCCTGGAGATTGGGCAGGGATCGTGCTCGATGATCCTATTGGTAAGAATAAATTCTTATCAATTTCGGACTAAAAATTAAATATAAAATTTGATTTTGCATTACATGACCTGTGTTTTCAGGAAAAAACGATGGCTCAGTTGCGGGAGTTCGTTACTTCCAATGTGCAGAGAAGCGTGGAGTATTCTCCCGACTGACGCGTCTCACTAGAGTACCTCTAGTGACACATGCACCACATGATGCCTCACCGGCCTCTGACGCGAGCAGCGTATTCGAACGCCCGCCGTCTGGCATCGGTAGACCCAGGCGCACTCTGTCTCCAAATGGAAGCGTGCGTAGCGTTGTCAGCAGCAAAATGAGTAAGGAGTTTTCAATTAATAACAAAATTATTTAAATTAAAAAAAATGCGTTATTTGTATTTATATACTAACATTAATTAAATTGTAACAAATAATTTAATATCTTTTGTAGATGCGTCAATTTCGACAACGACCAATGGAGAACTCCGAATGGGTGACCGCGTCATAGTATCCAGTAGTCGCGGAAGTAAAGCTGGTACACTGCGTTATGTCGGCGTCACTGAATTCGCTCCTGGAGTTTGGGCAGGAGTTGAACTCGATGATCCGCTCGGAAAGAACGATGGTTCTGTTGATGGAAAGAGGTTAATAAAATCATCTATATAATTAATTTTATTATGAGTTTATAGCTCCAAGAAATCAATAAACAACCTTGCGGCATTTACAGATACTTCGAGTGCGCGCCTCGCTTCGGATTGTTTGCGCCTATAGCAAAAGTATCACGGTCACCGTCAAACCGCAAGCCTGGTGCGTGTGCCATACATAACAACGGACGTGCAACACCACTGAGGCGCTCCAACTCTCGCGAATCCCTGACGTCGCTGGGCACATCGATTGCGTCGTCCCGTGTGGGGGTGAGGCTCGGGGTGACGTCGCTGGGCACTCAGGTAGGCTAGCCTCGCGCGCGTTCGGCCGAGCCCCGATCACCTCGTTCGCCCCTGCCCCCCGTCCGAGCGAGACCGCACCGCAGCGCGCCGAGTCTCCTAGACAAAACATTACTCGTAAAACACGTCGAGTATGACCGCTGCGCCATCATCGCTCTGCCCCAGCCGCGCGTTTACTATGATATCGTATTCCGCTCAAACGCGAAGTCAAAAGAGTTGAACCCGCGACGATGGGCTAGCGAGACACTTCCCAAGTCGTGGCGATGCTCAGAGAGCGTGCTCAGCTTTGAGAGCAGCAGGGGTGAGCGGTCGCGGCGCAGCGAGTCGAGCGGCAGCAGCGCGAGCGGGTCGGTGTCGCGGGGTGCGCGGGGCGCGGGCGGCGAGGTGGTCCGGTGGGCGGGCAGGCCGGCCGCCGTGACGAGGGCCAGCCACGGGGTTGCCGCAGCTACTGACATATTCGTGGAGATGCCGCCGCCGCGTACTCACTTCTCGGGCTTTGGAAAAAGTTACCATTTCTCTTGCGTGTCGCCCTTTCAGTTCACATACCCTTACGTTGTGTATATATGAACGGCCCTCCTACTCTGAAACGATCGACTATTTTACGGTTAGGTGCACGATGGAAATTGATTAATATACCTCGTCCTTGTGTCTCTAATTGGTCTCGTGTTACTTTCACCGTTGCTGATAAGAAATTGCCGTTAAATATTTAAAGTAAAATAGCCGAACGCAAATTACAAAGCAATTGTCCGTCGGTACATACGAGTACATCACGATCTGTATACATTGCCGTGAAATGGAGGCCACAATCAGGGCACGATCTAAGCGTGACACACAAGAGGATGGTTGTCATGTAGAAGGTAGCTTATCGTTTGCATGAGCATCAGTTTGAGTTTTGTTTTGGTCTGTAGCTGGCACCCCTTTGGTTTGGCCCTTGTGTTTTTATTTAACTTATTATATGTTTTATTGCGTTTGCGATTCACTGATGTGTGTCGTTTTATTATGAGGCTAATTAATTTTTTATTCGCAAAGTGAATCGTAAACAAATTTATATGTATCAGTATTTCATTTAGTTGGCTTCTAGGATCGCTTATTCATTTAGTCCTATATAATTTTAAAGAGACTGCAATAGTCATATCTTATGATATTTAGTAGTAATTTGATTTCAGACTGTGATATTATTTTTAAGATAATGCCATTAGGTCTATAATGTATATATTTATGTGTATTTATTTATATGTAATTAACAAATCTTAAGTGAACAGTGGCCACTAATAAGTGTTGTATATGCTGCTACTTCACGCACGGTGTTGTGGTCCATATAACATATAATCAAACTCCATAAGAACTTCAGAACTAAATACATATATATCTATTTTTTACCCACTAGATGGCAAACAAATTTAAAGCTCCCATGTCCCTATTGCAATAATATCAAGTTAGCACAATATTTTTATATAAATATTGTATTTTACCTTTGCACAATGTTTTTTTTAACTTACATATTTGTATTTGTCTTATATGTCTCAGACGCTTTCAATTTTAATGAAAATATTGATGTATTATATTATGGTACTGTAAATTAATAATTAATTCTCCAAATATAAATATTTTGTAAAATCACAAAGAATCTCCTCGTAAATTGCTTACAATTATATGTCCATTATACAATGTATATATTACACAAATATATTGTGTATAAATATCCACATCTACATAATTGCCTATCTATTAAATCAGTGGATTATTAGATTTACATTCCATGTTTAAATATCCGTTCTTCGTATGAAATATTTTCTCTGCGCCCTCAGACGAATCCTATTATTTCAATTACATCATAAATATGTATTAGGTATATTATAGAGCTTCTTAATTTGGATTTTTTTCTCACTTGTAGTTATTATGAACTTACAGTACATATAGTATAGCACTTTCTTTCTCAATGCTACATTAGAAGTTTTGATATTCAACTATATAGTGTTGTGTTTATTGTCTTTTCCAACATTGTGTTTCTTTTCATACAAGAATCGTTTGTTGGAATTTACATTAACTATTAACTGGACTGTGTTGAAACGAGAGCTAACAACATTATTTATACTTGATTCTGTTTTAAATAGTATATGTATTTATAAACGTGATAAGAGTTGTTATCTAAAATATTTATTTACACATTAGTGTAATTTTATTACAATAATCACATTAATATCATACACCTCATACATTATTTCATAACCAGATTTTCTACTATTATTTGATCGAAGCCTATTTTAATCTAAGTCGACCTTTTACGAAGTTTTTCGACAAGATAAAAGGAAAATCTCGTTATAAATAGTTGATAGCTCTCGAAAAGCACATCGCAGCACTAGTCCGCTATATAGTTGGAGTGGAGTGCGTTAACGCGTGTTGTTTTCCCTCATGTTTGTTGCGCATACGCACTGTCACTAACGGCACGGCGGCAGCGAGTCGGTGGTCCGCGCGCCTCCTCCACACCGGTGTCGGCGAAGAACGCCCTCCAGGTACAGTACCCCACTATCGCCGCGCGGTAGGATAGTGTTGACACCGCACACACGTGTGCCAAACGTCAAAACGCAAAGGTCGCAGTACATTTTGGGCCAACATGTTGGACCTACTTAGCTCCAACTCTTGTCACCAACATTACATTTTAGGCCAACATGTTGGATTTACTCGAAACCAATGCTGGTTGGTCAAATAACAAATGTTGGCATTTCATACATATCCAAAGTTCTTTTGTGCAATTCTTCATTAGCGTTCACACATTGGCTTTTTGTCCACTTAGCAGTCACGCGTCAGCGCGGATAAGTTTATTGCGCGTGAATGTTTACGAATTACACTGGCGATAAGAAATAATAAGTATCGTATACGTAAATAAACAAACGTTCAATCACGATGAGCCGTCCACTATCTTCTCTTGTTATTATTTTTAGACGTTCTTTGATGTTACTAAAAATAATGGCACAAAGAAGATAATTTATGTACAGCAGTTTTTATCTAAATGTTAGTAATGTACGTTATGTTAAAAAAAAAGAAATATCATTTTATTAAATGGCCAATGTTAACGTGTGAATAGCGTCTTTGCTTTTGGTCCAACAAGTTAGCCCAATGTACTGGGGCCTTTAAACACAGTGCCAATAATAATCGGGCCAATACTATATGTGAGTATAGTGTTCGTCCAATTTATCAAGTTTTGAAGTTTGGCACATGTTTGACGAATGTATTCACCAACCTCTGTGCCGGCGATATCGGGACATCCATTTTTCGACTGCGTCGACTACCCAAGTCGATTTTCTCTTACTAATGACAGCGAACAACGAATATAGTTATTTTCGTTTTTCTTTTGTTTTGTAATGAATAGTGTTACTTACAAACTAAAATGCTAACAGAAATTTATTTAAGATGTTTCACCAGACAACAGTTTTTATGTTGCAATTTACATGAAAATTTTGGAATAGAAGTTACTTAGCAGCTATTTCAAAATTTTTTTGTTACAATAGTGACTGTATCCTACTAGAAGACAATATTTGTCAATTATAACGCACTATAAGTACAAATAGCCTGCTATTTTTATAATCATGTTCCCACAATGTACCATGCGCTCAAGAGATCGAATTAGATTTACTGTTGCACACAAAATGCTGTTAAATATTAGCTTCTATCAAAGGTAAAACTGTGATATTATTTGGTTTTTATATTCCATTTTATTTATTTATTTATTTTCGAAAATTAATCGTACCCAGTACCCAGATTATTTATTATTTGGTGCAATTAATAAATTGTTATTTATTAATGATCAAATCATTAAGTACCTATTTACTTTTAATCATTGACCAGTGCCTGTAAGTTATGATGATATTCATAAATGTAAGAACTCATTTGAACAAGAGCATTCCCTTTTGCTTTTATATAATTTTACACTTTTAATATTAATATATTATAATGTTTCTTATAACTAACTAGTTGATAATATTTACTCTTAGAATAACTTTAGGATACGATAGTTGCTAATTTATATTTAAAGAAAATGAATATGTGAATGTTAATTAATAAATAAACGGAAACGTTTATGAGTTTTTAATAAATTATACTGTATTTGTGGTGTATTATTATCCGATCCTGCATTACCCTCTACTGGTAATAATAAAGTATTACTATTAACTGATTTTAAGTTGTTTTATTAAACTAATATCGCTGTATTTGCTGTATAAAAGTCGTAACAAACGGCCTGGATAATTATATAGATATAAATATTTTATTTTATAAACATCAATTTATATCAGCTATTATTTATAAAATAATGTGTGCTGATAAGTCCATGCAAATTTTTTAACTAAATACAAAAAGAGAAAAATGCCAATTCGATTATATTTATTAAATCAAACATTATCTGTGCTGTTTGTTACAAAACACGATAGCATGCTCTTCCGTAATTATTGGTATGTACATAATATGAAACTAGCGAGAAGCTATGAAGTGTCAGGGGTCGTGAATAATAAACGAAATAATGTACTCTCTCAGCTCGTGCTCTTTTCACTATATTTGTAAATATAATGCCAACTCGCCTAGTTTCATGTTAATGCACAGCCAAAGTGATCTTCGACTAGAATGTGGGTGTGTAATTGTGGAGTGCAATAAGTATGCGTATTCTGGGAGTGGTTTGCACATGGGCTTTAGGTTTGTAAATAATTTTCCGCTTCTGTACATGTTGAGGGTGAAATGAGATTGGCATATATATGTATATAATAGACATGAGTAACAAATATACATTGTAACATAAAGCGATTGATAGATTTGGCAAGAATTGTGAAGTTTTTATTTTTATGACTTTAGTATAAATTTCATATATAATAAAACTGTATATATTATATACTAGCGTACTGACTCAGCTTCGCACGAGTAGACAGAATTTTCGAAAATAATTACATATAAAAAACTTCAGCCAATTCCACTGATCGATTATTTTATAGCCATTCAAATTGGTCAAGCCATTTCTAAGATTAACATACACAAAAATACAGGTTTATAAAACCCCCTTATAATAGTTTCTTTTATATATCTTCCATGTACAGATAGCGACCAGTTACGATTTTATTATTTATATGTATTGATTGATATATGTATTTGCATGGCCGTGTTTCGGTTTGAAGGGTGAGATATGGTGTGAATTTACTGGGTACAGAGGAATAACATCTGAGTCCTCAGGAATGGCAACGCATGGGGAGTATCATGGGCGAAAGTATACTATGTTATGTCCATGATACTGCTCATGTCTATAGGCGACGGTTACCATTTTCCATCAGGTGGGCCGTCAGCTTGTTTGCCATTCTAAGTTGTATAAAATATATATATATATATATATATATATATATATATATATATATATATATATATAATTATTTAATATTTTCTAAAATTTATATAAAGAAAATATTACTTGAATAATATATAGATTGGTTGCTAACCCGCCTGCCAAACGTGGCAATTACTGCTAAACCTCACCTTATGGTCGAGGTTTATGTACAATATTGGACAGTTAACGGCCGATATGAGGAATATATAGATTAGAACTGAAAGAAAACTTACATATTTCTAGCTAGTGATTCTTTGGATATTAAAAATCGGTTATATTTCTTAAAGAAAAATATTCAATTTCATGAATATTATCGCTGGGTTTCAGTGCTATATCATTTCTCATTTTGTATTATCGTTTTCTATATAACTACTATATAAAAAAATTTAGATATTTTACTGTTTTATGATTACCTACTTACTAAATTAACAAGTTCGTGTCCATAAGTACTGTCCTTATCGCTTATACTTACTACCTACTTTATAAGTGGATATTTATAAATTAATTACCCACGTAAATTGAGTAAAACACGGTAAATGCCCATTTTACTCGACTCAGTTTACAGTTTTGTCTGATTTAACAACATAAGTACACTGTAATATCTCAGTCTTCTTCTTGTTTAAAAATAGAATAATGGAACCCGTTCGTACGATTTATAATTTGCTTCGAAAAAAACATCGTTGTTTTTTGATGGAAATTCTAAGACTGCAAAAGGCCTACAAAGAAGGTACAAACCTTAATTCCTCAAATACAAGAAATGCCATGAGTAGCGACCAATCGTATACAAATAATGTTATCCATATCTATAAGCAATGAATTGTTTTATCCAGTAAGTGGACTGTTAACTTGAAGTTCCTAGATGCATGTAAAAGTCCTACGCTACCAACTGCAATGATCGTTGAATACTAGACAGGGGCAAAGTGCATTGTGCTTTCTCCCGCCATAGTTAAGTTCAAAGGCAATACAGCGCCAAGGCGATCGATCGAGTCTAGTGCTTGACTACCTAGTCATAGCTATAAATATTTAAACGGTACATGCCGACTTCCCAGACATAATCCTAGTAATACCTATAAGAGTATTAACTTTATTTAATTATTTATCGAATGAACAGATTTCTGTATTTCTTATTTAATATAATAATACCATTACATCTTTTACGTAATGCGTACTTTTTAGCTATTATCCTATTGATCTAATCCCTTCGTATATTTACATACTATTTCGACAATTATGATTATGATGTTTCAATTAATTAATAAGATTGCCTAATAAAATTAGAGACAGATATTTACTTACAAAGTTGTTTTTTTAAAGCGCCTCAAATGGTACTATAAGTAATTATTATTGCTTACTTTAACTAATTATGCTACCATTTTTTTCTAAATTTAATTTTTTAAAATAGTAAATATATAAACTGTACCTACTTTAAGTATTTAATTGAAATGTAAAAAATAATAATACGTAACGACATGCCCCAAATGAAGTAATGTTTGTCGTCTTATCATTGTCATGTATATTATTGAATATAACCTTGAGAATAAGTAATATTCCTCATAATATTTGAGAGTTTTATAACATAACTCTCAATTTGTATAAACTTCCCAGGTATATTCCCTTTCCTTAATCTATGAAATTTCCCTGAGCGTAATTGGACTCCAGCGTACCAAGGCTAAGCTTAAGGGCTAAGCCTGTCGAATTAATTTGATTTATTTATGATATTTTCCTTTACCATAGAGTTAGAAATTTTAATTGGCATCACGATCAACGAATTTTTAAATCTCAATTAAAAGCTTACTTATACTTAAATAAAATATATCGCAAAAATAAGCAAAGGTATATGGAGAATTACTCTATTTCCATTGACCAACATAACATTCCGTTGATGCGATGTCCATTCTAGACACATTGTGTTCTGGTGTGGCATTTTTATAATAATAAATCCCAAACTGAGTTTCTTATTATCTTGTGAGACTTTTAGTTTTGCGAGATAACCAAAAATTATAGCCTTTCTACCTAATTTGGCTAAGTCTGGTCTTTATGTTAACAGTCTGGCTAAACTAAAGCTCACTAACCGTTTTTTATAGTTTATGATAATGTGACTTAATTTTCAATCAGTATATGTACATAATAATTATTTTTGAACAATTTCAGAGAAGGGCATTCTCAATTATCATAAAATGTTGCTCTCACGAAAAAAAAAAACAAAGCTATTTTTGTTTTTTTTTTTTTAATAATAATAGGCTTGATAAGCAAAGTCATAAAAAATTATAAAATAAACAAACTCCCTTTTACAATAGTCTACATGTCTACTCAATATATAGGTAATAAATAGGTACTTACAATTTGCAAATCACCATAAAACTTACCTTATACTTATCGATATTTAATAATGTATTAAAAAATAATTTATCATTGCAAAAAACATTGTGTACCTACTTTTATCGAATCTATTACTGTTACCTACATAATTCTATTACATATTTACAATCTCAAATAAGCACTTACCTAGACATATTGTACCTACTTTCGCAATATCAGGTACATATGTATGAAAAAGCAATATTCACAATATAAAAATACATAAAATGTAATAAGTACATAATAATAACTAAACACCTACGTACTTATATGTCTTGTCGCGTTAAAATTATCCTATTTGGCTATAGGTACTCTGTACAGCTATTATAATGATGGTGAAAATAGCACAATAAATATTTAATTTTATTATAACTATAATGCTGATCATGTTGAATCATAGACTTAGTATAACGTACTATATACTTCATAATCTAAGTAGTGAACAAACTTGATTTTGGCCTCGATATGTATAAATAGTAGTAGGTATCTATATATTCAACGTAAAATAATTTATTAATATAGTAAGGTCAATATGAGAGTAGTGAGGCGTAGGTTCTTAATAATGGTATTTTGCGTAGGCATAGGTACTGTCCCTTAAACCCAAGGAATACTTTATAAATATTTATGAAGATTCGAGTCGGGCTTCGTATTTGAGTAAAGGTGAACTTAGATAAAGAACAACGAACAAAACTGTTAGCGAATTCAATTAAGCGATGACACAATGCTGTTACCATCTTTACATTAAACAAAAACTAGGGGTATTTAGTGCATGAACTAGGCTGGTTTAGAAGCATCTCAATTCGCTTAATGTAGAAATATATAGTGTTAACTAGATACTATTATGCAAATTAACACAATGCTTAAATATTAATTTGATAGAATTGTTTGAAAATATTAATTTACACACAAAAGTGCAGTCACTGTTGGGGGCATGCGGGGTGAAATTTTAATCATTAGATCTTTTTAAGGAAATCTACTAGTAAAACTCTAAACAACTAAACACTATATTTTTAGACAAGATCAAATAACGACACAGACTTTAAATTGTCAGCTTGATGCGCCGTGAGCTATTCCTTAGGGCAAGTTTAATTGAAAAACAAAAAAACAACTTTAATTGCTCGAACACACTCTTAAGGATGCTAATAATTTTGGTTTCATCCTATATAAATTTAGATATGTGGCATATTAAAATATATCAATAACACCATCTGATTTCACAATATAGTAAGCCGCCCAAGTGAAGGCAAAGTCGGGAGAGCAATGCATGACTGGTAACCTTATGTGTTGTTAAGATGACTAAATATATGTGTAAATTGTATTACGCCTTTTAAGTCAGACATTACATCATCTAGATACTTATCTAACCCTTCAGGCAGAAACAACAATGCGAAGTTTACTGATTTACTCCAAAACTTGGTAAAACCACTACTTACCAGTAATAATAATTTTTAAATAACTTCGAACTGGAAGACATTCTAAAATTACTTCTTTTTATGCGTATGTATTTTGCGATATTTTCGCCAGCTCTGAACTGTTTTAAGATAGGCATCCACAGTTCCGCACCGTACGCATCGCATAGATTTTAGTATTTTTTGCATAAAAACTCGTACAACTGCGTGCACTGATTCGCATCACACGAAACGTATGCATCGGCCTATCGGTAATGTCGACGCGGTTGCTTTCAAACATTTAAAGATTGACGCCTCTGCTCGCCAAGGAAAAATGGCGTCGACATTTCTATTACTGCGGATATAGTAGGCATACCGCTTACAAAACGGATCCGTTCGAAGTGTATGGTGCGAAACTCGACACCTACCTTTATCAGGTAATTCTTTATGCAATCAATAGCGTACTTCCAATGGGGAACTACGCTGTTGATTGCATAAATTATATCTGTATATTGCAGTTGTTGTGTTTCCTCATAATGGAAATCGAAAAAATGTCTGTGACTATTGCTTTTAAAGTCTTAGTTGTGTGCATCCTAAGCTCCACCTGTACATAGTACCGAAATGTCCATTATAAAGCAGATCATGTACTTGTTTGTCATTTATAACACAAAGAAAATGAAATTATTTGACTTGAAATATATTTATATCCTATAAATCATTATTGGAAGCTCATTTATAAGCAGGAAGCACACTATTTCAACCTCATAAATAGAGATTAGGACCCACAATCCTTCCCTTACAGACATAGGTAAGTGAATTTATATTTTTTATTATACTATAAAATATATTTTATTTCAACATATGGAAGAATTAACATAAGTAGTAACTTTTGTAATTTTTATAAATTACAGAATAAGATGACGACGTCCTTGACCTAAAAGTATGAACAGAAGAAGACTACAAGAAAGAAGACCACGCGATTTGGATATCAAATAAGAGTAATATGAACGCATAGATAAATATTTTGGTACATTGTGGAACATGATTGTAATACGATTAATATAATAAAGGAAACTATAACTTATCGGTTGACCGCGAAATGGCCAATGAATACCAAGATCATATATTACTTCGAACTAGTATATGATTTTGTATTTATTTAATAAATTAGCATTGGTCGATTTTTTTTTTTTAATAACCAGACATGACTTATTATGTCTGGTTATTTATAAATAAATTTCGTCACTTAATGATTCGTATTTCCAGATCATTAACGTTGGCATACAAATACGGTTTTGAAACTAGAGAGTTTAATATCACGATTAGTAGTAATAACAAATTTATAAGTGATATTTGTCAAATATTAATTTGTCCTTTCACTAAAAACAGGAACTCCTGCGAGAGAAACAACAGCACCTTGAGAGGTTGATGCGTGAAAGAGAGTTGGAGCGTTCTGAAGTTGCAAAGGTATCGTTGCAAGCAGAGAGGGCGGAGAACGCTTTGGCGCAATTGAAGAAAGAAGCTACTCAGGTTAATCATTAATTTTATTGTTTATTAAAAAATAATCTCCATAAATAAAAATCAGTTGTCGAATATACGCATCACTCCAGAACGGCTGTGTGTATTTGACAATTTTTTTGTGTTTGTAATTGTTATAACAAGGTTTGTACAAAAGAAAACGTTTGAAAATTAATAATTAAATAAAAAATAAGGTAATATGAAGTAAAAAATATGTCAATGTTTCATTACTTAGAATCAAGGTTTAAAAACATTATTGGATAGACATCTTATGGGTGTCACAACATGATGTTATTGATTAAAATTCAAAGACGAAAACTCCATTTGAACTGGCTATTGTTTGTTGATTTTAATAATTAGAAATGACTTAGTCCGTCTATCGATACGACAAAAAAAAAATATTGGTGAAAATAAACGGTAACAAAATAAATAAATACTCACTTTTATAAGTCAATATCGAAAGACTTAATAATGTTTTCAACGAAATAATATAGGATTATTATGAATTCAGAATATGACGTTTCGAAACTTAAATCATAAAAATACTAACATAAAATAAATTTGCACATTCTAGTCGGCTACTGAAAATGGAAAGCTTAAAGCTGAGTTGGATAAGCTCAACAAACAGCTGGAGGACGAGAGGCAGAAGGTTGAAGATCTCTTATTCAGATCAGAGGAAGAGAACATCAATAGGGAAGATTACAATGTAATTATACATATAATATTTTTTATAATTCTTTTGTGCTATTTTCACTATCTTCAATTAATGTTTTATATTTTTCTTTTTCAGAAATATAAGGAAGCCATGGAGGTAAAAAATTATTTAAATATACTAATTAATTTATAATTTTACTTTTTTATAGACTCACTTGTATTTTACACGATTTCAATTATAAAATTTGAATTATGAACAATATTACACATATAGAGGTGTTATAAATCACTTTTTGATATATTACTGAATTTGATTTTTATTAAAAAAAAGTAATAAATTAAAAATACTTTAATGATAGCAAGAAAAATCATCACACCTCCATCGTATTCGTGAGTTGGAAGCGGAGGCAGCGCTACAGGCGGCACGAGCTGATACCACTGTTGCAGCGCTGCAAGCGCTTGAAGATCAGCGCACTGCTGAAGCGGCAGCGATTGCGGAACAGCACAAGGAAGAACTCTCCGCTGCTCATAGTAATATTTCTTTTAGTTTATTTTTAATGCAATAAATCCAGAGCGTCATCTAGTTAAAAACATAATTGTACTAGTATATTTATTTTATTAAAATATAAAAACATTTATAAGATAAACCCATATTTATTTAAATAGATGCTTCAAGCACCTCGATTTATGATAATAATTCACGTTCCTAAAAAAATTTTATCTTGTGAATTTTTTTATGTAAATTTCATACATTTCGTATATATATATATATATACACGAGTATTTATCATTTCTATATATAAATAAGAAAATATTAATATAGGTTGATATATTTCTACATTCAGAAACTCCTGATATAAAATTTAATTTGCTATCAATGTTTTTTTTTTTTTTTCTTTTTGTTGTCAATGTTAAATAAAATTTATTTATTTCAGCTCTATCTTCAGAATTGCAAAAACTATTAGATGAAGCATACGCTCTTCTCAAAGAAAAAGAAAACGAGAAAGACTCACTAGGCAAAAGTATGTCCGACGAACTAGCTCGAGTGAAATCTGAATCTGAAAAGGCTTTAAATGAGGCCAAAACAAAGATAGCAATTGCTCAAACCGAATTTGAAACGCAGATATCTGTATTATCGGCTAATTTACAGTTGGCCGAATCTAAATTAGAGACTGAAAAACAAAATCTCGACAGACTAAATAAAGAAAACAGTCAAACAATAATAGATTTAAATACAAAATTAAGTCAGCTTCAGGCTGCTGTTGACGACAAAACACTCGAGTTGAATAAAGGTAATAAGGAATAACTACATAAAATAATAAAAATATCAACATTTACGTGTAAAATTATATAAATTTTCTTTTTGTATTACAGTTTTGGGCGCAAGTAAAGAACACGAAGTAAACCTTAACAAAGAAATCACGAAACTGAAAATGGAGCTTAGTGCTAAAGTGTTAGATTTGGAACAGGTAGAAGACGCTAGAAAAAAACAAGAAACTATTTGCAAATCTTTACAAGAAGAAATCGATCGTGTCAAAGAAGAGTATTCTAGTAAGGTTAATGAATATGAAAGTTTATTGAATGATGTAACCCAAAAGAATGAAAAAAATAAACTGGAAATCATGGAACTACAGCAAAGTTTATCTGCCAAAACAAAAGATTACGAAAGGTTATTGACTGAAAGTAGTGCTTCTAATAATTCTACTGAAAAATTAATTATAGAGTATAAACAAACTATTCATGAGAGAGACAAAGAAATTATAAAACTAAAAGATGACTTCGAACAAGCCACAGCCAACTTTAACATTAAACATAGTAAAATTGCAGAAGAACATAAAAAAGAAATAGACAACCGTAATACAAAAATAGAACAACTTATGAAAGAAATTGAAAACCATAAACAGGCCTTAGACCAAAGTAAAATTGAATTTGATACCCTTAACTCTCAATTTATTATTAATGTAGATGAATTAAAAGCTCTAAAAGAAGAAAATGAAAAATTAAAACAATCGGTTAATGAATTAACTCAATTGAATAATGATCTTAAAAGCAAAGTATCTACAATGGAACTGGAAATTGGTGAAGGAAAAAGGCAACTTGATAGTGTTTTGGAAAAGTGTGATGAATTACAAAAAGCCAAAGAAAAAGTTGAAACAGAGTATTTAAATCTTACAGGACAAGCTACTGATTCTAACGAACAGTTCAATCAGCTTTCACAGCATCTCAAAGAAAGCGAAAAAGAACTTCAAGAATTGAAAGATAAATTTAGAGAAACAGTCAATAATCACGGTAGAATAGAACAAGAACTCAAACAAAAATTATTTAAATTACAGGAAGATTTCTCCTTAGAACGTGGTCAGTTAACACAGTCAATTAATGACAATATTGAAAAACTAAAAGTTGCAGAAAATAAAATTAAAGAATTTGAAAATGGATTATCTGAATTGAACAACCGTTCAAAAGAAATAGAATCTAACAATGATAAATTGCTAGATGAAAACACTATACTAAAAACAGAAATCGAGGCATTTAAGGTGAAAGAACAAGAATTAAATAATGAATTCGAAACTATTCGCAAAAAACTTGAAGTTAATATTGACAAATATAAAGAAGAAATAGCAGTATTAAAATCAGAAGGAGTCAGTTCTGAAGTTAAGTTAATGGAAAAAGTAGATCAACTGACTGAAGCTCAAAACGATCTAAATAATAAATTAGAAGAAGCTAGGAAACATGAAGATTCATTGCAAAAAATCTTAGACGATATGACTTCACAATTGAATAGCCAGAGAAATCAATACGAGAAAGAAATTTCCGAAGTTCGTAACCAGTTGGCAGCCGTAAGTAAAGAATCAGATAATCACAAAATAGAAGAAAATCGTTTAAAAGCGCTCCTAGATGAAAAACAAAATCATGTTAAAGAACTTACTTTGAAATTAGAAATGCTTGAAGTAGATTTAAAATCAAATATAGAAATAGTTACTGAGAAAGATCGTCAAATAAACCAGGTTAATGAGGAAATTACTAAAATCAATGAAAACAAAAAACAAATAGAAGAGAAATTAAGTAATGCCTTAATAGAAGCGTCAACTGTAAAGCAAAAGTACGAGACCCTCATAGCAAATTCTTCTGCTGAAGAATCTATATTAAAGGAGCAGTTAAGTCAGTTAGACACATTAAGGAAAGAAATGGCTGTTTTAGTTCAAGATAAAGCATCAATAGAAACGAAATATAACGACGTTTTGACAGAATTGAATGCAATTAAAACTGACCATAAAAATATTTGTAACAGATTAGAAGAAAGCGTCAGCTCTTGTAGCGAATTAAAGAAAATTTTAGAAGACAAAGAAATTTTAATAAAATCTCAGAATGACCAAAAGAACGCAGATATAGGCAAAATTAAATTATTAGAAGAAGAAATAACAAAAGTTAAAGAAGAAATATCAGATAAAGAGGCATTAATAAAGGATAAAGAATCGCAACTAGAAAAATTAAATGAGACTTTACATCTGGGCACTAACGAAACAGAAGTTACTATTAAACAGCTTCGGGACGAAATTGCTCAAGTTAACGAAAAGCATAAAAATGAAGTGGGATTATTAAATAAAACTGTAAAATCTTTACAAAATCAAATTGCAGAACAAGGGAAGTCATTAGAAGAATTACAACAAACAAAAGAAAAAGTTATAGAATTACAGCAACAGTTAGAAAAATCAGAACAAGATATAAAACAACTCACAAATATTAACGAGGGTCAAAAATCAAACTACGAAGATTTGAATAAACAGTTGCAATCACAGTATGACGAATATAAAAAAGAAAGTAAACGCATTAAGAATGATCTCAAAAATAAATTAAACGACTATGAAAAACAGTTACAAGAATCCAAAGAAAAAATCAAAATTGAAGTAGAAAAGCAAAATGGACTTCAACAAAAACTTTCTGAGGCGGAAAGAAAAGTATTAGAATTATCTCAGAAATTAGAGTTGATAGATGTTCAACAAAGTTCGGACACAGAAAAAGATACCAAATTAGAGAAGTTGACAATAGAATTACAAGCTACTAAGAAATCTAGCACCGACGCTTTAGCACTTAGCGAAGCTACTATTAATAAATTTAAAGCAGACATTGAACAGAAAATAAAAGAATTAAAGTTGAAAGATGATCTTGTAAATAAATTACAAGAAGAAGTTAAGGTAAATAATTCTTTACTTTGTTTCACAAAAAAATAATCGTAGTAAATATTGTAAGTACCCTGAAAAGATTATAATGAGACTGACATTTACGCATTTATTCGCATAATTTCTTAATTTAAGATAATAAGTCTCTCCCTTAGAAGGTATTGCCAGTAACTACTGGCAACTGCCACGCTTGACAGGCGGATTGGCAACCTCAGTTAGACTTTGGAGATGTTTTACGACATCCATGGGAAAGGAAGGGGTGGCCTATTCAATGCCGGGACCACATGGCGAATTTAAGATAATATCTCATTACAATTGTAGAGGTACACCTAATAGTATCTTAATGGGTAAAAATGTGTTTAGAATATACCGATATATATATATATATATATATTCAATACATTTAATAAAAAGGTGAATAATTTCATTTTTTTAACGAGTGAAATTAGAATGGTAACTGCATATTCGCTATCGGTATACGCTGGCGTTGCACCAGTGAGACGTGACAGGTGAGGACGAAAGCAGATCAGTTACCTCATCGTCATAAATTCGACAAGAATTGATTATGATGGCTTTCAGATGGATCCGCGTGGAGGTCGACCTGACACCTTGTATTGCTAATAGCAATATAATAGGACTATTAGACCCCATTACTAACAAAACTTTCCCCTTACACTTAGTAGTTACACCAACACCTGTGATTTCAACTATAAATATTATAATAATATGAATGTGTCTGTAATTATCTTACAGAATCAAAAAGCTAGGGTAGAAATAGCAGAACGGGAGAAGGCGCTTTTACAAAAAGAAATCGCTGCTAATGGTGGCATACGAGATAAGAACGACAACAACGCGATGGGTATATTGGGACAAGGCGACAACGCATCTCAAAAGTAAATACAATACAATATTAATTATCGTAATAGAGTAAGAACTTTGAAATGAATGAATGATTTTGTGTAGGAGAGGAGAGAAAATAATTTTCATTCTTTCATTCCTTCGTATTCATTGTTAGGAAGCGAATAAAGAAGCCGGAATAAAAAAAAAACACGAAATCTTATACTAAGCCTCTTGGTATATAAAGTATGAAGCTCGTCTCCTTATGAGGTGAGGTTGATAAACTGTAAGTTCATACAACTAACATGAAAATCATTATTACATTTAGGGCGCCTCAATAATAAACATATACGTACTTATTATTTTTGTAATTATGTATTAATATTAATACAGATTGATAGAAGAAAAAGAGATGATCGACGGTCAAGTAAGCTTCTTGAACTCTGTAATTGTGGATATGCAACGCAAGAATGAACAGTTAATGGCGAAAGTTCTGGCGCTCGAAGGAGGAACAGCAGTAAATGATACACCAACGTTGTGAGTACTTGAAATTTAAACTTATCTAAGAGGAGAGGATTCAATCTTGTATTAAGAGCATATAGTCTCTAACGACTGATAAGTTCTTTAAATTCCTATGTGAACAGTTTTAGGTAATACATCACAGCAATTATTTCTTTCTCGACCTGCACATACTATATTACTGAAAAATTAGAACGAAAGAAAAAAAAAACATTTCAATACATAAAATAGGTTTATGGGAGGTTCTATATATTCTATATTATTGGTAAATTCTTAATGTTATATACCACTGATGATTTCGATTTCACCTTTTATTGTATTTTTTTTATGGGTGAAAATGGAATGGTAACTCCGCCTGCGCTAACGGGATACGCTGGTGGAGCACCAGTGAAGGGTGATAGATGAGAATGAAAACAGGCCAGTTAGCCCATCATGATGAATTCATCAGGAACCAATCATGATAGTTTCCAGGGGGAACCTCGAGGAAGTCGACCTGGTTGGGTATATTGCTAGCAATGGGATTCTCAGTCTCCATCATTAACAATCGCTTTCCCCCCAACTTGATAGCGTTATAATCGTTATCTGTATTTGTCGTTTTTGCACTGACAATAAAATGTATATTATATAGTAAAATATATTATATATAGTATATGCAGATCTAAAAAAAATAATTGCTGTTAAGTTAGGTATTATCTAAAACTGTTTGCATAAAAATTTAAAGAACTTATCAGTCGTTAGAGACTATATGCTCTTAATTAATGATTCGCCTCAAGACACATGATACTCGCAGTTTTTTTTATGGGTAATAATGGAATGGTAACCCCGCGTACGCTATCGGTATAAACTGACAGGACACACGTGAGTGATGATAGGTAACGATGAAGCAGGTCTTTGCCCTAACGATGGACAGTTAGCATCGTGAAGAATTCAACAAGAATTAGCCACGATGGTTTCCAGGAGCAACAACGTGGAGGTCGACCTGATAGCCAACAGGACTGATAATCCGCATTACTAACAATCCCTTTCCACCTGATACTCGCAGTTAGGCTTTAGAGATGTTTTAAGAGGGATTATGTATGTTTACAAAAAAGTGTTTGAATATTTATATATTATGACATATATATTCTGTAGTACTCATGCTACGGGGGGGAAAGGGATTGCTAGTAATGGAGACTAAAAATTCCATTGCTAGCAATATACCCAATCAAGTCGACCTCCTCGTGGTTCCCCCTAAAAACTATCATGGTTAATTCCTGATGAATTCATCATGATGGGCTATGCTGGCCTGTTTTCATTCTCATCGATCACTCTTCACTGGTGCCACGCCAGCGTATATCGTTAGCGCAGGCGGGTGTACCATTCCATTTTCACCCATAAAAAAAAACTCACGCTACAAGTACTATTTAGTTTGGAACTAGATGGCGTTGTCCTATGTAATATGTCCTATAGTATCGATACTTATATCAGTTATTTGTGTGGTCTGAACTTATCGATACATTGCAACAGCAACGGACGCAAGTCTCGGCCCGCGCCACGGCTGTTCTGCGACATCTGCGATGTGTTCGACGCCCACGATACGGAAGACTGTCCGCGCCAAGCGGCAGACGCGGACGCGCCGCCACCGCCGTCTGCATCCAAGCGGGTGCCGCCGCCGCCTCGCCCCTACTGCGATATATGCGAAGGTAAACACACATAGAACTTTTTTTTTATCAAAATGGACTAGCACCTCGCCTGTACTAATTAGTTTGTGTTAACGGGGCACCAGAGGATATATTTTTTTAATGAGTGATGTAGCAACGATAACTCCACCTCCGTTACCGGTATACGCTAGCAGAGCACCAGTGAATTTATCAAACCTAAGTTATAACAGCAGGTCAGTTAGCCCAACGTGACAAATTCACCAGTAAATAACCACAATTCAGGCGGGACTGCGTGAAGTTTGACCTAATTAAACATGATGTTAACAATAGGGCCAGTAAATCTCATTACCAACATTTTCCTCCCAGGTCGAATTTTATTACACCGATTTCCATAGGAAACCCGTGGATACCCCCCTGACAGGAAATACTGCTAGCAATGCCTTTTGCATCTTGCATTTTGGTATAAACAAGTGTAAGGGCTGTAAATTATCTTACAAAATATTGCAGGAATATAAACTAGAAACAAATTTCAATATTTTTGTATTTAAATTATTAAAATTTAATTTAAAATTCTTTCAAATAACTTAGCTCTTAATAACTGCATAATTATTATTTATTGAATTTTTTTAATGGGTGATAAACGAATTGTAATCCCACCTGCGCTATCGATATGCACTGGCGGGGCACCAGTGACAGATGAGATGGGGATGAAACAGTTTACTGATGAGTCAGTTGGCCCACAGTGACGAATTCATAAAAAAATTATTAAGATGGTTTCCAGGAGGAATCTCGTGGAAGTCGATCTGATAGGATATATTGCTAACAATGGAGCTGTTAGATCCCCAATACTAACAATCCTTTTCCTCCCTATTGAATATATAATTATAGTAAAGATCTTTACAAACTTTTACATACACAATATTAATATTTAGAATATATCCAGTGCAACAAAAGATTTGTTTCTTTACACATTTGTAATTTTAATTATGACTTGTGAAATGCATACATACGAGGTCTGTCCGGAAAGTTCGTATAAAAGTGTTCTGGAATGCGAGAAAGAGGAGTGGGGAGGCCAGGTAAGCGCAGGACCCCTTCCTTATGTCCCTAACAATGCTTCAGTTCTGGTCTGACCGCCGTGCGGTGCGAACTGGCTTGTCACGCCATCTGTGAAGTTACCTCTTAACGAAACCCCGTCGGCATGGAGCCCGCTTCCGTTGAAGAGCAGCGCGTCGTAATCAAGTTTCTCTCGAAACTCGGCAAGAATGGCCGTGAAATTTTTGCCGATCTCAGAACAGTTTATGGGGATGATGCTGTGAAGGAACCAACCGTCCACAAGTGGCTAAAAAGATTCAGAGAGGGCCGAGATGTTGATTGTTTTTTTCGATGTTCGGGGGATTGTCCATCAAGAATTCGTCCCTCCAGGCCAGACAGTTGATGAAAAATTCTACGTCGATGTGCTCAGACGCCTCAAAGCTCGTGTGGCACGAGTTCGTCCAGAATTGGCGCGAGAGGGGCGTTGGATTCTTCACCACGACAATGCCCCTGCCCACACCTCTCTTGTTGTCCGTGAGTTTTTGAGTAAAAATTCCATTACGGTGACCGAACACCCCCCTATTCGCCGGATTTGGCCCCGTGTGACTTCTTCTTGTTCCCAAAAACCAAATTGGTACTTCGGGGGCGGCATTTGGGGGACATAAATGAGATAAAAAAAGCTACGACGGGGCAGCTGAGAAACCTACAACCAGAGGACTTTCAAGGAGCCTTCTCACAGTGGAAACGGCGTTGGCACAAGTGCATTATGTCACAGGGGGAGTACTTTGAAGGGGATAAAATTGATTTACCTGAATAATTGTAAAATAAAATTTTTAAAAAACTTTTATACGTACTTTCCGGACAAACCTCGTATGCATAGAATTTACTATGTAATGTCCATACTGTAGCTATAGTTATCTAAGATACATAATGTGTTTCTCTTTTTTTCAGTATTTGGACACGCGACAGAAAACTGTGATGAAGAGGAGACATTTTAATAATAAAATATTAATTGCAACATTTAATTAAAATGTTACCGTTGTTGTTGTTACTCGTTTTAGTTGGGTATTATTTATTATTGTTTACCATGCGAATGGTATAATTGTTTACTAGTTAATTAATACCTTAGGAGAATGTGTAAATAAGAAAGATTGATCTTTTAAGTTTATAAGTTTATAATTGCATGACATCCATATTTTACAATTATTTGGTGAATGGTATTATTTTTTATAAATTTTTTTCATTTGCATTGTCTAGATATAATGCATATTGAGAAAATCTTTTAAAAAGCACAAATCAATTTTCATCACAATCATGTTTTAACACCATTCCATCTGTTTTACGGCGATAATATCTGATAATAAACACCAAGATAATCTTTTTATAAGTAATAAATTAATTTGAAAATATTTTTGTTTTATTTATTTAACGGTTTACAATGAATGCAGTCAATTATTGTTTTATAAAGCCAAATTACTGGGTATAACGACTTAAAATCTGCACCCAAGAGTTAAGAACAAGTATGCCTCTAGTGATGTGTATCTTGACTGACTGCGATGTTTGCACTTAAAATCAGGTAGGTAAATATACGGTATATTTGATTGCTATCCTCATTGTATCAAAGGAAATAAAGTTTTTATTGTAATAATTTTTAATTACATATAAATACAAAAGTATACTACTTGCCCAGTAGTGGATTCATGATAAATAATAATAAATATAATTATAATAGAATTAAACTGTACTTCATTTGTAATAAACTTGAATTTGAGATCCACATTTATTTCTTGTAAAAGAAAATTACATGTACAGATTTCCATCTTTTTAAGTGAATGAACAGATAATCTGTATTATAATTATAGAATCAAACTCATTACATATGATAAATAAAAATAATAATTGCTTATCAATCTTACTTTATTAAACCTTATATCTATCAATCATTTAATACAAAACTAATTTATATCTAATCCAATCCATCTTTTTTCTCCTTTATAGCTTCCTGGAACAATAAACTTTATAATTAAAAATATTACAGTATGAAAATACATAGAGAATTCTTGCCAAGACTACTAACTTGGCAAATTTTAATAGAAAAGAATTTTTAAAATTCGTTAATTATTTTCAATGTATCCATTACATGCAAATCTGTCCTCTTTATAATATTATACTATTACAATGATACTATAGCAAAAAAAAAAAAATTATAAATTCAAATAGAAAATATAAGTCAATTTTTATATACAACTTGGAATGATGAATAAACTCATAGCACATCAGCTGGTGTAAGTGGTAAGTATCATTAACCATATTATATAAATGTGCTGTTAATATGAATATTATAGAATGTGATACCACTTCTGAAGGCTAGTGTTATGCCTCCAGTAATTATATATATCCAGTAATTTCACTGTCACATCCCACTCTTCAATTTATAAATGACTAAACATTGCAAACAGCTGCTTGGTTTGACTGGTACCAATTTATATGAAATTTCAACAAAATTGTTGTGTGTTCATGATTATAAAATTTGTGTTAATTAGAACAACTTTTTAATTAATAAGGATTTTATGATATTACATTACATACCTTGAACCTCTCTTCAAATAAAGACAGCTCAGATGTAAGGTCTGTGATAGCATTCATAAAGGCATCTTGTGGAGTGTAGTCAGATGTTGTCTGAATGCGCAGCACAAACTTATGCTCAAGAGGATGAGGAACTTTGTAACCTGCAAATAGTACCTTCGGGTCTTTCAAAAGTTGGCTGAAATAATAAAACAAAAATTAATTTATAACAATAAATATTTATCAGAGGTATTTTCACGATCAGGACGATCACAATGTAAAATTGTGTATTTAGAATATGTGTAAACAATGCAAAAGTTTAAAATTATCAGAGGTAATTTTGTGTGAATTCAGAAGTTTAGAAAACAGAAGTTTACAGTACATTCACTGCTCTGAAATATCAAACAATTTATGAGCTGGGGATTAAAAAGGCTTCCTGGGTTTGCTTTGGATAACTCGTCAAGCTCAATAGCGTCTCTCACATTGAGGGTAATATGAACAAACTAATAAACTGGATCCCATTGCCCCCATTAATCTATATATACAAAGTTCTATAAAGTTATATACAGCTAAATTAGAATATTACCTTTCCATGTACCAAATTTTTTTTTAATCCATTCAGTAGTTTTTGCAAAAATAAAACTAATATCCAATCATTCTCATAAACTTTAACATTAATAGGACATAAAACAAGGTTTATAACCCTCTGAGCTCAGCAATAGGATGATGAAGATAGGACTTGTGACAGTATATCTATTTTTACAGTGACTGCATTGTCCTATTATCATCTAATGAGAGCCATTCTTTGACAAAAAGTGAATTTTGTAGTGGCAATATGGAGATGTCATAGGCAAAATGAGTTATTATACACAATAGTGTTATTATACATAATATGAGTTAATTATGAAACAATTTATATGTTAACAAATATGACGTGAAGTAACCAAGTTTTTTAACCCTTTCAGAACTGGCGTGCACAATTGTAGACATAAGATATAATTTAAAAAATAAATATTAAACTCTCAAGCTTTCCGATTGAAAAGGGGTTGTGTTCGTTTGTTCACTAATAAACTACTCAATTTAATACTACTTACGCCATTTTTTAGGATATTCTAGCGTTTTTCGACAATTTGCGACTAGTGTACAGGTGAGCTTTATATTTTATTTAAAAAAAATTAAATTAGTGCATGAAATCATCTGGAAAAAATATAAACGAATATCTAATATTATTGGGGTCATGTGTAACGTAATATTTGTGTATTTTTTTATTACCTTATATTGGTAATCTCGATTTTTATATTTGTGCTCAATTGTTCCCATCAGGATTTAACTGAGTTTTTCTCATTGTTCACGGTTTTTTAAAAAAATATGTTTTGTTTATATTTTTAACGTTTTATTAATCATTTTTGTAAGATAAATATATAAAATGAATTATGATATTGTTTACTTATATTTTCAGATGCAAAAACACCAATATGTCCTCATTGGAGGCGTTACAAGTATGATAAGATGAAGGAGATCTTTCTGACTTATTATTATCATCTGATGACGAAGATAATTATTATGGAGATTCAATTTGTCGAGCAAATTGAATCTAGCAGCTAATGCTAGAATTAGCGCAGATGTCATTTACCAAAACTAAAGGGAGTTTTTTCCACCTGAATTTGATGACAATGAAGGACCTAGCGAATTGTATGACGGCGTCCCTGCTTTACTTTGACAATAATTTTTCATCATACCATTTACTACAAATCCTAAAACAAAAAGGTATTATGGCCGCATGCACAGCTCGTGTTAACAGATTTGTTAAACCACCGTTTTTAAGTGACAAGGTAACAAATAAGAAGCCTAGGGGTTTTTTTCAAGAAGTATGTAGCAGAGACGGAGATGTAACTGATGTAAAGTGGTTGGACAATAAGGTTACCCATTTGGCTTCCAATTTTGTTGGTATAGGTGACAAGGACTTAGTAAAGAGATGGTGTAAAAAAAGAAGCGATATATTGAGGTTGCGCGACCTGAGGTCTTAAAGCGCTATAATCATGCAATGGGTGGCGTTAATTTATTAGATCAACTTATCAGCTATTACAGAACATTTATAGAATCAAAAAAAATTACTCTGCGTATGATATTTTATGCATCGGATGTGGGAGTTCTTCAGGCATATCAAGAATACCAAATAGATAACGACTTGTAATGGCACACCTAAAAAGCAAGGACTTACTTTACTTTCGTCGTCGCTTGGCTGACAGTTTGGTGCTACAAGATAAATGTTCTACCACCAAAAGAGGTCGACCAAGTAGCAGTAGTAGCAAATTATACCAAGAAGGCCAGGAGAGATTCGTCCTGCAGCTGAAATAACTCGTGACGGTGTTGGGCATTTCCCTAAACATGACGATGGAACTGGGACTAGGTGTAAAATGGTGAGATGCAAGGAAAAATCCCGTGTAAAATGCAAAGTTCATTTATACCTAACCAAAGACAAGAATTGCTTCTTGGCTTTCCACACATAGATAAAGATTTTTTTTTTCCTAATTATTGTTCTTACTGTGTTTTTATATTTGTACCAATAACTGATTATGCCAAAAAACTAATAAATGTTTATTTTATCACAAAGAAAAAATTTAACTACGTTAATTCATTTATAATTTTGTAATAAAAATGTTTTTAAATTAATATTATTTCATTTTAGAACAACTTCGTATACCTTATTCTTATTACTATGTAGGACGGGAGTCCACATTTGTGCACATTAAGAAAAACTAGATTTCTTCGAAAAATGTAAAGCTAATTTTTTTTTATTTATTTTTTTTATAGTCTCCTTATTATACTTTAGACACATGGAATTTACCAAATCCATCGGATGAAAAAAAATAATTCAGTTCTGAAAGGGTTAATCCATTGAGATAAATTATAAAGGTATATGAAACAGGGATGTATAATTATTTGCCTATAACATACTTTAGTGAACATTATGTGTCAAGGGAATATCAAACGAATAAATCAGGTAAGGACAGATGTTGGTATTCAATTATCTTTCACTAACACATAAATAACAAGAAATTACAATCAGTCTTACTGTCTGATCATGTTTCCAAGAGTATGGTCTTCCTTGTTTACCGTGAATATGGCAGCATTTGTCACCTTAGTATCTTCTTCTTTTTGAACCCTGACGAGATACGATATAACAATTGAGACTTGTGAATTGTAAGTTTTAATTTAAAGTAAGTTTTATAATAAATTAAATACAAACTTTTTCTCTCCGTCATACAAAAGGAATGATTCAAAGGTTGGCGGTGCATTCATATTTCAATCTAAAATTACCAAACTTATAATATATACAAAGTGTATAGCTTAAATTATAGTAGAACGTTGTTCACTTAGATTGCATTTATTTAAGTATATTTTAAAATTTTATCAAAAACAATAAAAGAAGTAAGAAATTAACGCCACTGACAATCAGAGTTGCCAGATACAATTTTTTATTTTTACCCAAACGCAGTGCTACCACATACGATTTTAAATTTTTACCCCATTTATCAAATATTTTCTCTACATATGATTTTCACATTTTTTACCCTATCACAAAGTTACATCTTTTTTACCACGTTTTTGCCAAGTGTCACAAAATGAACGAAAATAAAGGTCATTCCTTCTGTTTTTATTTTACCCTCTTTTTTTCCTTCCGTCATTAAGTTTTTTGTAATTAGGTACTTTATATACTTGTTTATAATTATTTACTTGTTATTTTACAAGTACTAAAACAATTACCTACAATTTAAAAAAAAATCCAAATTTCTCTAAGCCATATAATAGCTAATATATAGCCAATCTGGCACTGCTGATGTTATGGCTAATACTGGTCTTTAGTTATGTCAAATTTTGTTAATTAATCCAAATAATATAGTGTAAATGATTACAAAATAAATTTTTGATATAGTTGATTTTGTACTAATAATTTAATGCATGCGCTCAAAAAAGCATTACTATAGTGCTTTTTTGAGTGTGAGAGTGAGAAGAGAAGAGAGTGCTTTATTTTGGTAACGATATATCGATTACCATAATAATCAATGTTTCATTACTACTATGTCAATGTAAACTATAGACGTAGTATAACATACTAAATAGTGTAAACTTCTGTTGTAACTAGCAGTGTTGCCAACCTAAGATCTTCAGTACATCGAATTTTAGAACTAAATTACGTTACACTAATTTGTTATTAAAGTCGTTTAATTTGTTAAAAATCCCGTCCTCACTATTTTACATGGACGTGAGATCTCTTATTTTTTTTTTATACAACTTAGAACGGCTAACAAGCTAACGGCCCACCTGATGGAAAGTGGTAACCGTCGCCTATAGACATGAGCAGTACCATGGACATAACAGAGTATACTGTTTCGGCCATGATACCCCCCCATGCGTTGCCATTCCTGAGGACTCAGGTGTTATTCCTCTGTACCCAGTAAATTCACGCCATATCCCACCCTTCAAACCGAAACACAGCCATGCAAACACAACTACTTTACGGTTGAAACACGAATGTGACAGAGGTACCCAAGCAATCGACTTTTGTAGTCTCCCTCTTATAATGAACAAACAAGTTTCGGGATATCTATAATGCAGTATAAATAGAAAGGCATACGCCTCTTAGCTTTTTTTTTATGGATAATAATGGAACGGTAATCGTCTGCACTATCGGTATACATTGGAGAAGCATATAGTAAGATAAGACATGAAGATGAAGAGACCTTAAGCATTGAAAATATTAATTGGGAGAAAATAAAAATATCGTATTAACGTTTTAAGAAAAAGAACTTATTAAATACCCTAATCCTCAGGAATAGCACACAAATGATATCATGGGATTCAGTCAGTGTATTTTATACACTCAATAAAAAAAAATACATACAGCAGAAAACACCGTTTATTTTATAATTATGAGAGAATTTCAGATTGATAACCTACGTTGAATATGACTATAAAACCAATCTAACTTGAATTTTACAATGTGTGTCCTGAACCTCACTGTTTTTTAATAAATACAACTTTAATAGTAGGTAATTATAGGTAGTTTTCAGTGTTCCTTTACAAGATTACAAGACAATTTTTTTCGTAAAGAGGATTACAATTTGAATATAAATTCTGAAATGAGTACTTATTTTGGTACAAGAAACATCAGTAGAACAATAGATAAGTACTAAACTATTTCAACATTTCTGTCTAAACTAAATAATTATTAAAAACAACATGATTTAAAATAAAACAATAAACTCTAATACATTTCAATGTTTCACATCATTCAACGTCAAGCAACATCGATAAGTTTGAAAGAACAAAGCACAAATTGAGGAAATTTTGTAAATATTTTACGAATACTAACTAGGTATAAAGTACAATTGAAGTCTAGCGACTCTACTGATAATTAACTTGGACACACGGACATGCGATTTAATTCAACCATTGTATTGTTTTTATAATACCTATGTCGTCAACAATCGACTAGTTAAGTAAAAACCAGTACACCAGATGCGTCTTTCTTTTTTCGCTTTAGAATAAAAAACCTCGTCCTTTTGAAAGTAGCATAAAAATAAATGCGATGAATAAAATTTGCTAAGCTGATTTTGTAATTGCAATAGGTCTGTCTCACTAAGTACATACATGAGAATAATGTGGTAATCAATAAAATCAATCGCATAACAGTTATCCTTTAGCAAGTTATAGAATGATGCCGTCGTTAAAATTGCCAACGACATAAGTATACGAACAGCATTCTCAATTTTTGCCGTAGTGTCCGCGCGTATATAAAATAAAATCATGAAGATCAATTTGAAAACAATTTCACTAAAATAGCACTTGCATTTGTAGAAGTTATATATCTAGCATAATTTATTCGAAATGTTATGCACAGAGTGTACTTACCTATTTGTTAAGAGACCTAAAAGTTTTACAACTTTCCATTTAGGTGTACCGCAAAATGTACCGAATTCGATATAAAGGGGATATATATATATATATATATATATATATATATATCAAAACAAAACCCTAGTGACAGTATTCATAAAAGTGAACAACTTTCCCTAAGAGCCAAAGCTGAAATATAAAAAAAATCCTACAATCTATACGGTCACTTGATTACATGACCGTGTGGATTGTATAAAATCCAATCATTTAAAATGACTTTTGTATATAAAAGACCAAATTACTTTTGAGAAAAGTTGTCATTTGAATACCATAACTGGGTTCCTCTATGGCAAACTCTGTACGAAATCTTTACATTTTGCTACTTTATATCAGTAGTCAGTGACTTGTGTTACAATTTTGATACATGACCAGGACTCCCAAACAGGTTTTATATATAATGTAAATAATTTATACACAGTAACAGTAGGTACACCTTGTAAATAACATGATGAATGTTACAGCATTAGTGTATCTTGTGTGCCAGTGAAGTGAGTGGCTCTAGGGCCTATCTCAGATTTCTATACAGTAGAATTCTCATAACTAGAAATACATACTTCTCGTAGTAGCACTCGTTTATTAAAACTAAAAAATTAAGACTAATTAATGTTCTTTTTACCAACGTTATGCCTAACGACATAATAATTCGAAATTAGTAGGTATATGTCATAGGCTAAACTCTTAACCAGTCAGTAGGTATTTATTAACTGCAAAACAGTTGTAAATGGTTTAGGTTAAGTCTAAAATACCAGCAAACTTTTTTGCAATCAAAAGTTCTCTTGACCAATTGTGAGTTTTGACTACAGCATATAAAATTTAAAACTGAAAATGCTACAAATTCAATTTGTATTGTTCGTTGTTCCACGTATTTACTAAGCAGAGTTATTTCAATAAGTAGGTATATAATGAAGAAATATTTTTTTAACTTTTAACAGACCTACCAACTTGACTGATGAACAGATTACGTCTATATGTGTTGATATAATTTAGTGTTACATATTAGATACTTAAATAGTATTTACCATTGAAGAATACGTGATTTATAAGTTAATTTTCATTCATTCAATATTGAACACAAAATTGTTGAATAAGCTTAATAAACAGCACTGTAATTACGTTTGGATTACGTTTAACACTTACTATCTATCATCTGTTATAATGTAATAAAATGCTATAAGAATTGACACATAAGTATATAAACTATACTAGTTGTGTACTTATACAAAATTAGCAATCGAATCAACAATATGCAATACTATTGATTATGAAAATATCTATGCTTTACGATTATATTGAGATTTGTTAGAACGCCGTGCCGGTGACGAACCGCAGGCGCGCGGCTCCCGCGCCCGACACATGAACACGAGAAGTCACTTATGTACACTAGTAACAGAGGAATACAACTGCAATATTAAGATTATCAGAATAATAGAGATCATTGAAAGCTGACTAGAAGCTGGTTATGCCTATACTAACACTTTATATTACAACGAGCTGATGGCGAAGAGATTCCCCACGAGCGGCATGAAAGCGCAGCGTTGCGAATCTCTCCGGCAACCGGGCGGAGTGCGGGAGCGAGTTCCGCGCATCTCTTGTGCGAACGTGTTCCAAACTCTCGCTCGGCTATGACTTGGGGCTTAAGGGCAGGCGCCGAGGAAAACGACCAGGCGTATAAAAACAAACTTACTATGATCTTTGAAGCAGGACCTGAGACCCTACGCCGAGTCAAGGTCGGCTTCCTGCGGTGCATGCCATTTAAACAAAGTCGTGGTCGAGATATACCGAGACAAAATAGAGGCAGACGCGACGCGGCGCGCTGCGGATCACTACCGTCCACGTCAACTTGGTGTCAGGTACGCGACCTCGCATCGAGGCCAAGTATACTTATACTAGAGATACGATGAGTTCAGATGCATCTAGCTTACGTCACGTGGTTTCGAGTACACGAGACAGTATGCGATGAAATGAATGATTGGCGGCTGCCGGGCGAAGGGACTAGCGCCTGTTGGGAAGACAAGCGAGAATTGACTGGCAAGTGGAGAATGCGACTGATCTCAATTTATAATGAAGCTACGAGAGAAAAGGTATTACCTAGTTTCTCTACTGTTACGAAGGCAACTATATGAAATCCTACTCTTAAGGATAAAAATCTAATTACGCTATAAAATGTTAAAATTAACATTGCTTCATGTCCTTATATACGCAACTGCATACTAGGATAATGAGTACGTACGAGTTACGAGGCAGACAGTGAGAGGGCTCGCTTCGCAGCGGCGGCGGCGGCGGCGGCGGCGGCTCCTTTAGTGCCGTTAATCTCTCGCTCATGTACACTCTGTTAATATTCACGTTTCAACAATTATGCCATTATGACGACTACATATTTATTAAATCTTCGCCAATATCATTTAATTTTATTTATTTTATAACATTACTTTCTTATAGGAAAATGCTAATAATATTTTGGTGCTTAAATTTTCGAGTGATATTTTCTCTACGACAATTTAAGTAACATTACAAACACAAAATACTGTTCGATATCTATCCTTATATTGCTGAAGACTGGTACTTCAAATTTATTAAAAAATTTATCCTAGCTAAAACGGCTACTTTATGTTTTACTGTACAACGAAGAGCATCTTAAACTGTATGAAATTAATATTTAATAATAAATCAATCATAAATTTGATCGAAAAGCGCCAAAAGTTTGTATGTATGTATACAATATAGGTACTATTTATTATATTGAAAAGTTTTAAAGTACGCTTACGGTTTATTAAAAGTTACACTCACAATAACAATTCATTATTATTATTATAAAGTTAACTAAACAACAACTGCATCTACTATCACACATTCGAAAGTTTAAAACAATTTTACAATTGTAATCGAACTTTATTATTGCTACGGCGTCGGCACGCCGGCGCGATATGCTGTGTGCGGCGATCGAGGCGGCCGTCGGCGGCTGCGTGCGGACCGCGAGCCGCTGGCAACCGCCGAGTGATTGCCGAGCGATCGCCGAGCGACCGCCGAGCGAGCCGCGAGCGACGCGACCGGCGCGGTGCTCGTGGCCGCCGGACATCATTCAGACGGTCTACAACCGTTTCATGTGCTCCAATCGACGCAACTTCACTTGCGATACGAATGCAACGTTACACGTCTAACTTGAGGTAGTCCTAATCCAACACCGTACATTATTAATTGATTACACCGATTCCATTACATTCGACTTTGTAGCGTTCAGTGATTTTTTTATAGGTAATAAGTTTATGTTAACAATGAAATTATAGGTATTCGTAGACATGATAATATTATATATTTTTGCCATATCTACTACCTATGAATGATAATTGATAAGTATTGAATTGTAGTAACATAATGACTGGTATACGGAAGCTTTTTGCTTAGCTAACAGTTTTTGTACTAGAATATGGGCGTTCTTCTGAGTAATGTTGCCATCACATTATTAACTTTAAGATGAATAGGCAAGATATTTCTTAATGTTTTTATCTTTATAGTTTTATCCTATTTAGATTATAAAATCAAAAGAATTATAGGCCACCACAGGCTAACTACAAAGATTATTATTTATAACTAAATAAAGTAAAACTATAAAAGTGGCTCTGACAAATAGTCTGATTGTAAGACTAATTGCACTAAAATTTTCGTCTTGTTATTTCATAAATTTAATATGCGACGGCGGCATCACTCCGGGGAACACATTAATCTAAGTACATCTTATGTACTAATTCCGATGGTGAACATTTTACATTTAAAATAGGGTAGAGTTAATGAACTGCGAGATGGTACATATAAGAATTCACAGAAACAGCCTAATAAATATTATAATGCATGTACTACAAATTGTACTAAGTATATCCATGGATTATTGCGTCCTAAAATTATTTGATTAAATGAATAATTTCAACGTTCGTGAACCTATAACTTATGATCATATTCAACAACTTGAAACATCTAACTTTAGCGGGATCTGCCGACAGGTATCCAGATCACGTGATAGTGGAGTACAATTTGTGTCTTACAAACGAAGTTGTAACGACAAATATAACGCATGATGCATAATTGATGAGTTGCTCCGATGCAGCGTGTTGTTTGCAGCCAGGCGGGGTGCAGGCACCAAAATGTACGCAACTTTTTTTTCTTTGCTTGACGATCCTGGAGAGTATTAATACTGTATTAGATATTGATGATGATGCTTGTAAGTTATATGAAAAATATGAACTCTACTGCTGTATGTATAAAGGCCTGCGCAAATGAGGTACTTCCCTTCAGAAAACTTTTTCGGTCATAATAGTTACAATAAATTGAATGGTATCAAAAAAACCGAGAACTGACTTTCATTTGGGCAGGTCGTAAAGACTATATGGTGTACAATGGTACTACCAGATCAGCATGATTGAGTAATTCACAAGTGAAATATTAATTAAATTTAAATCAGTTCACGCACACAGCACAGACACCTACCACACTTATTATAATCTTTAAAATTAATTAGAGATTAGCAATTCAGAAAACAGTAAATAATTTTATGTCAATCAATATAAAGAATGTTAATTGAAATGTAAACTATGTATATAGATGATTACATCTACGGTATATGAACTAAACATTTTACGGTCCTTCGTACCGGATCAGTTTATTGACAGTTTGTCAACAGCAGTCGTCGTGCCGACATATGATGGTAAATTGCCGTCGGACTGTCATTGGCGCTTATCTGCTAGCAACTGATGATAGAAGCATAGGATTATAGTTCACTCTTCATATTTATTAACGATATAGTATCTATCACGCATCCTTGCACGCTAGCACACTGTAGGCGATATTCGACGTAAGCCTTTAGAACGTCTGACTACGTTGTAAATACAAATGTAAGTAGGTTAAAAATTCACTCTTACATACAATATGTATAATGGAATCTGGATAAATGGATATACTTAATGATTTTTTTGCTACATATACAATTTTGTAAAGAGACAAATAGAAGCAAATAGTAAATGCATTAAATTGGCAAAAAGCGTTTAATCAATTATACATTATGTAGCTTAAAATTATTAGCGAAATACTACTTACTAAGTAATCATAATTTCAAAAACTACTTGATCCACAAAGCTTAGCAGAAATTCCTTAAGGCTATATACATAATGATTAAGGAATGTTTAATGAATATCATCAGGAAAAACAACATAATATTAAATATTTTGCACTTATCCAAATTCCAATAAAGCACTTTGTATTTAGGTATATTACTATGTTAATGTATATTACATAAATGACGAAATAACTAATTTCTGCGTATATAAATGTTATGTCTATTAATAAGAAGCCTACAGTCTATATAAAAAATATCTAGTCTTATATTAAATACATTACCTACCTATAGAATACTACTAATGTTTTAATCAGTTAATGAAATGATAACACACAAAACATATGTATCATTAAATTTCTCTATAAATTTAGTGTCACTGTGTATTTATTAGTTAAATATGGATATACAGAATGAAGGTAGGTGGTTTATATTGATAACTAAGTATAAATGATTATTAATAAAAAAATTATGTGCTTGTGCGAGAAATAGAAAACGTGTTGATAATATTAAATAAAGGTGCAAAAGGGTAAAAAGCAGTGATAAGTGAAATTTTAGGATGGAACATATAGATTGTATAAATACGTATATACTGGTGTATACATATAATATTCTAATACAAAAAGGAGAAAGAGCAACACCCATAAATAATTTGATGTAAATATCCCGTATTCATAAAAACTAAAACCTACAAACCTATTTTAATTATTACACTGTTTTGTCACCTTCTCTCAAATTGTCAATTTAGCACAAAAGAAAGAGATAAAACAATTCAACCGCTAAAATAAGTTTATAAGAGGTTTGACGTTTTTATTAATGAGAAGACATTTTGTTTTGAATATAAGATAGCTTATATACGATAGTAATAAGCTATAAATGTCAAAAAAAAAATGTCAGGTCTCTACGCGTTTCATCATGGTTATTTCTTGATGAAATATTCACTGGTACCCCAACAGCCTAAACCAATAGCGCTGTCGGGGCTTTGGTTCTATTTTCGTCTATATATTAAGATATATGAACTATATATTAAGATATATGAACGAACTGAAAATCAGAGAGAGATTGTCGTCAACTGTTCGTATACGAATTCTCAAATACTTCGGCCATATCATCCGGAATGAAGATTGTATGGAACGTTTAATTGTCCAAGGAGCGGTACAAGGCAAACGTTCTCGGGGTAGATCGTCAACGCGATGGACTGACCTCATCAAAACGGCCACACAGAAATCTATTGTGGAGTGCTCTCGCTCGGCGGCGAACAGAAGTAGATGGAGACATATTGCGAGGACCTCAATCGCGAAGGAGAGCCTCACCGACGATCCACCGTCATTGTGAAAACCACGACCACTCTGCCAAGAGTGTACGACTGAAGAGAGAGAGATTATATATATATATATATATATATATATATATATATATATATATATATATATATATATATATATATATATATATATATATATATATATATATTATGTACGTATATATTAATATATGCAAAAGATTATCCTCTCCTTCTTCGTTAGATCCTATTAGCCAAGAATATATGACTAGTCCTCTAGTCATGCTCTTGATTAATAAATCACGTAGCAACCAGTAGTGGATGCACGTATAGACGCCAATAGGCTAACAATCTTCGAAATAGTTGTAAATTCTCAGAAATAAATGTTGTTTCTTTCTCAATGCTGTATTATTAATTTTCAGTGGTTTGGATAAAAAAAAAACTATATTATTTTCATATCACAATCGGGTTTTTAACAGGAACTATAGAATAAGCTTTACTTAAAAAAGAACTTGTAAATTTATTTATAAAAAAAAAAAAAATATGTTACAGTTGTGCATAGTATGCCGTATACGAAAAATCACACTTTAATTTTTATAGCTGGTAAAAAACCGTTATGTGAAACCTTAGGTCGTATCAAATACACAGATAGAACTATGTATGTGATAAGACTAGGAAATAGAAAAAAAAAATGATAGATATAAACCCACTTAACACCAATTATTTTAATACGACTTATTTCGTATAAACCGTCGATAAAAATATCCTAGTCCGTTATATCAGAGTGAGAAGCCTTTTTATTACACTCTACGGATTATATAAAATTAATCCCATTATTATTATTTGTGGAAAGCAGGTTTTTAAACTCCCAGCTCCATTATCATGGACTGAAATGAAATTTCAAAATTTAAATTAATAGAAGAACAAAATAAACTGCTAAATATATTATAGAATACATATGTATAAATAAGGTATCTGCTATATACAGAAAATTACTAATGCATGCAAGATTTTGGAGGAATAAAAATATCTTATAAATGTAATAAAATTGAATTCTCATATTTTCCTAATCCCTTTCTAGGTTAATTGTTGTATTTTTTTAAATATATATTTACTTCATTTTTAAACATTTATAAGACTTCTGTGTTAAATAAGCGTAATTATGACATGATCCTAACTAGATATAAAAATTCTTGTAATTTTTCTTCGTTTGACGCATGCATATTTAAGTCCTTTAGCTTGTTCTGGGCTAATAAGTAATTTAAAAAAAATATGTGTCATATGTTTTATAATACTATGTTTTATGTGATTATATAAATTAATATAATGTATTGAAATTATAATATCAAATTCTACTCGATCGATTGACATTAAAAATCTAACTATTTATGCGGTCTATAAGAGCAGCCCAGAGATAGTGCGCGTCAAACCTGCCCCGTTTCAAGTTAGAAGAAAGTGTTATACACGTAGCCAGTCGCAATGAGGCCGAGCACGAGCAGACACACCATAATCATTATCTTCTTCTGCACAATGGACAAATACAACACACATTAGTAGCTAATATAATATAGCGAGCGCGCAAACTCTCCGATTGTGTCGTTGAACAGCGCCTGTATTGCGGGTACCTTGAGTTTGTTTAACAACCTTTAATGGATAAGGTACCATATGACCACCGCCTGGATTCTGGAATGTCTAACGATTGCTGCTAGAAGGAAACCGGGTCCAAATTCACATATACTACTATAAAGTTAATAGAATTGTTTTACACATCAAATGTGTAAAATGATTCCACTGACACACTTTTATAAAATATACGTATAATTTTCCCAAACAAATCTGTAAATATGAGAATTATGAGAAGCTATACGCAGTGTGGAAAAAAGGCAACAATAATATTCAATATATGTAATAAAATCCGCGCGAAAATAAATTGTAATAAAATTTATTAAACCGAAATTGAATTGGGACCCAAATCAAACTAAACCATATGCCAGTGTCATAAGGTTTAATATGATCTGTTATACAACACGCAATCGTTCGACGCACCGTAATTCCGAGACGGGGTCGGTGTGCGCATATTCGTCGACGCACCGAGGGTCGCTCGCTCGCCGCACGTCGTCAAGTTTACCTTTGAGCATTTTGCGGTCGGATACTGTGCCGCTCACATGAACATGCTGGACACGTAGCCCACGACGACCAGGCTCAGAATGATCAGGCACACTAGGATCATGATCTTCTTCTGTTGACGGCGGTGGCAAGCATGCAACAGTACTCTTTATATGTGTCCGGGGCCAGAACGGCTCACTTGGACGGTTTCCCTTTAATCTCTCATTACAAATTATTTTATGTAGATGAGACAAAAATAAAACATGTTACAAATTGCGAGGCTCCATAACACTAGAATATAAGTGGGTGCGTCATTTGCCTTATTAACGAATAAGACATAGAAAAATAAAGAAATAAAAAAAAAAAGAAATAATATAAATAAAATGTAATGTAATCTTCAAACTACAAACAATATTTTACAATTTCAATAGGATTTTTACAATAAAGAATAAACAAGTCTGTGAGAACCCTTCGTTGTAGGGGTAATTACCTAAATATTAAACAATACAGTGAAAAATCATTAGTATGATCGTTATTATATAATTAACCAATAAAAAAGAAATGGCATTAAAATGTTTTTACAGTCTTTTATTCAATTAGTATGTGTGTGCGCCAAAATACGTAAATTTAATTTTAATATTTTATTAATAATGAACACCAAGACTGAATTCACAATCATCT